ACAGCGGACGACGAGCCCGAGGAACCAGGGACGAAGACAGGACGAGCCGCGACGAGAAGGATATGAAGCGAAAGAGACCAATACGAAGCTAAACGACGACACAAGTCAGAGCAAAGAAAGGGAACGGGTCGTTACTAGCTCCCGAGACGAAGAACCGAAACTCGGCGGATGGAACGATCGACCGTCCGAGCAGAAACCACATCAGGAGCGTTCGCCAACAACACAAGACGTGCCCCGCTACTCCCCCATGCCGGTGCCGGTAGTTGAGGAACCATGTACTCCAACATCTGAGGGGCAGCTGAGTGCACCGAAGATACCGTCGGCTTCCGGCAGTGTTGGTCGTCCGAAGGCTAGTCCTGCGTCTGCGCCACTGTCTCCTATTTCGCAATTACGAAGTCCACTCAGCTCGCCTAGGTCAGCCGTGTCGAGTCTGCACAAAGGCGAGTAGTGGTGGGATGGGACTGGGGATAGTGTTGCGAGCGTGGAGGATCAAAGCCAGGGTTGCTGCATCGCTAGCGTGGCAGATGGTCTTCTGCATGAGGGGACGACCAATAGTTGGATCAGATATCATCACGTACGTCGTAAGACACGGGCATCAAGCGATGTGACGAGTATGCTGTGTAAGCTTTAGCAATCACCGTAGTATGGGTTGTGAGGCATAACGCGTCTGCGCAACGGCATGCGCCAGTTGTTTGAGGTCTGTGGAGTAGTGTAAGGCAGTGCAAATGTATACACGCGTTCGTATATCGATACGCTGCCAGGTACGCGCCTGCTACAAGCGTCGTACGACGGAAAGCTCCGCGCGATTCCGGGAGATGGATCTTCGCTTGTGGCATCGACGTCCAAATGACCGAAGACCAAGAGGCCGAGCATCTGGCCAAGCCACCCATGTGCAGATTCTGATGACGGTTCTAATCACCGAGAGAAGGCCCAGCCGCCAGGAGGGGCTAAGGTTTGTTGATGATGTTGATGATGATGCAGCAGTCTCGGTGGCCGAGGAGGGTTGCCAGTGAGAGGGTTCGCGACATGCTCTGCTCTGGGGGCGTGGTGCGACTGTGATGTGGGCAGTTCGCAGCGCGGAGGGTTAGCCTCTGGTCAGACCAGCGAGGGTCGGGCGCTCGAAACGGCTATCCAGGCCTGAGTCGTGATTAGAGTTGGTGCTGGCGGCTGGAAAAGGCAAGCTCCACTCCAGGGCTGTCGTCAGGGAGCTGGACCCTGTGCGATGGGTGACCCCAACCAAACAGTCGCGAGTCCGTGTGAATTGCGCGTCCCCAAGAAGCGGAACCTCGCTGCGTTGTGCCAACTGCTGTCACTCACTACTTCCCGCCGCTTCCCATTCCGATATACAAACACTCACTCCCGCTGTGGTTGTAGTCAACGCTACAAAACGCCTCCACTGCAGCCCTGCGCCCGATCATCGCTTGATGGCGCCCGCGGACCTGAGTTAACTAGGCCCCTTTCGACCCCCAAGACTCTCCGATGCTTAAACCCTCCCGCCGGCCCATACACGAGTATGAGCTGGTTCCGCGCGAATCCCTCGATGTAGATGGCGAGGAAGCTGTTGTCGGTCAAGATGAACAGTGTTCAAATCCACGCCGCTCCTGGCTCAACCGGCTGAGCAGTCGCTTTAATGCAGTCAACAAGCTGTCCGATCGCGCCGTATACGCCCACTACGTCACCCCGCGCCGCCGAAAGCGCTCCATTCTACGCATCCTGTACTGGACGTTATTCTCCGTACCGTACCTCTTAATCGTCCTAGTGCTAGTTGCCGGCATCTTCTTCCCGAGTTACACAGTCAGGCCTCCACACTACGACGAGCTACGCAAGCGAGCGACCGACACTGGGCGCGCGAACCCCTACAACGAGAAGGTCTTCATAGCCGCCTCCCTCGCCGAAAAGAAGGGCGATTTGACGTCTGGTGCGTGGGGTAGAGAGGTGCTGCAGCTGGTGGAATTGCTGGGACCAGAGAATGTGCATCTGAGCATATATGAGGATAATCCAGATTTGGTGACGAAGCAGTCGTTGGACTCGTTCCGCGACCAGGTCAAATGTGAGACGCTTCGCCTCATGCCGCCGTGCAAAGATCGCTAACAACCCCCAGGCAACTCGACCATTGTGTCCGAAGATCTCGACCTCGCTTCCCTCCCCCACATTACGCTACCCAACGGCGAGAAACGCCTCAAGCGCATTGCATTCCTTGCTGAGGTGCGCAACCGAGCCCTTGCGCCCATCGACCAGCCTGGGGTCAGATTCGACAAGGTCCTGTACCTGAACGATGTCAACTTCGACCCCGTTGAAGCCGCGCAGCTCCTTTTCGCGACCAACATCGACTCGACCGGACGGGCAGACTACGCTGCAGCATGCGCTGTCGACCACATCATGCCCTTCAAGTTCTACGACCGCTTCGCGACGCGCGATTTCGACGGCATGATCACCGGGCTGCCCTTCTTCCCGTGGTTCACCAGCGCAGGGACAGGGACCAGCAGAAGTGATGTGCTCGCAGGGAAAGATGCGGTACGGGTACGGAGTTGCTGGGGCGGCATGGTGGCTTTTGACGCCAAATGGTTCCAGTCAGAGACCGGAGTCCAGCCCGAACCCGCCAACCCGCAGAATGGGACGCCTAATCACAGCATCTTCCCGCTCCGCTTCCGTCACGACAACGAAACCTTCTGGGAGGCCTCCGAGTGCTGTCTAATCCACGCAGATCTACAGTATCGGATGTCTGGAAGAGGCCGACCTGCGGAATCTAGGATATACATGAACCCATTCGTTCGAGTAGCGTACGACGAGAAGACGCTGAGCTGGCTCTCTTTCATCCGTCGCCCGGAGCGCCTCTACTCTCCGATTCATGATATCCTCAACTACTTCGTCGGCTTCCCTGATAAGAAAGCCCGGTTCGCTGAGGAGCCAGGGCAGCTCGTGACGGACAAGGTCTGGATCTACGATCACCCAGCTGCGGCTTTCGCACAAAATGCGACAGAAGCCGATCGTGCAGGCCATTACGTTGAGCAGGAGCGGAGAGCAGAGCCTGGCGGTTATTGCTCATCGCCCAATCTCCTTGTTATCAACGAGAAGCCCGAACACGGCCCTGGTGCGTGGAGCAAGATCTTTGTTCCGAGGCCTCCCCAGCTCTGATCGCTCGAGACACGACCATCGACGACGACTTCTTTCTCACGGCCTTCATTTAGTACTTCAAAAATTTCCTTTGTTATGCATAGCGGGATGGATGGGAAACACGGCGTTGGCAGCTCACAGAGCTTTCTAGAATTTTACCTTTACGGTCACCAACATGCTTCGGATAGGAAGCGACGTCCTTGGCCGCACAGCGCGGGCTGGTCAAGGATGCTTAGGAGTACTTTGGGTCTAACACTTTAATACGTGTTCATCGACAAGGTGGAGGCCTGTTCTCTTCTTTCATCTAGTCGTAATTTCAAAGTCACAGTCACAGTAGCATCATGATTGTCAGCCACACAATGTCAGATGTCATACTTCACGTGTCTGATCTCATACACCGCCTCCTTGTTGGGCACTAGTGTGTCTGCCGCTCATGCACTCTCTCCCATATATCCAGGACCATCTCCTTGCCCTTTGATAGCCCTTCTGAGGCCCTCAAACTGTATCCTCAAGTCTTCTTTACGTCCATTTGTAGCTGTCATCCAACGTGAGGCGAAACGCGACACCCCGGCCTCGTTCGCTCCAGCCAATGACGACGCGCGAGTATCACACGATCGCCAAGCCGCTAAACCCGATTTTTCCTTGACTGTCCTCGACGCGCTAGGAGGCCAACACGGTGCGAAGAAGACGCCTCATCTGACCAGGACCCTCTTGTACATACAAACTTCATCATCTCTTATCCGCCTGCCGCCCGCTCTCTAGAACAATCTGATCGCCTTTGCATTTCCGCGTACTATCCCCTACCCGTGAAAGCGACAAGGAGCTTGGCATAACGACGTCATTTCCCAAAGTGTGTACCTGCAGGCCAGGCACCATGGTTCTCGATAACGATACGCGTGGGTGGATCATGACTGCGGTCAGCGGCATAGGTATGGATTGACGATTGCGCGCGGGAAGCTGCATGGATTTCACGGGGAAGCAGATGAGCTAACGCGTAAACAGCATGTACATTTGGAGGTGAGATTTATTCCCGCGGTTGATCCCATCGACCGGGATTCCGAGAACTTCAGTCAGGGAAGATGCTAAAGTTGGCTAGCTTCGATAATATGCGTCGACCTTATTGTGCGATATTTTCCTGGCAAGAGGAACTTTAAGATTGAAGAGAGTAATGCGTTCTTGTCGACGGGGTTGAGTCTTTCTTTTGGTGTTATGGTGAGTGGAGCTGCTGGGCTTTGTTTGGATTTGACTGACGCGACTTCAAGATATTCTCATCACTTTACAGCATGCTTCCCTCGGCGAAGAATTATCTGAAAAAGGCAGGCATGTCACCGCGCAATGCGATACTGACTTTGATCGGCTGCTTCCTTGTTGGAGCTCTTGGCATCTCAGTCCTTTCCGGAATACTGCACCAGTACATTCCACACTCAGTTGTCGACTGCGAAAGCAAACACGATGACGAAGAGCAGGGGAAATTTCAAGAAGAGGAATCGCACTCCCACCAACCGATGCAAGAGCAGCCTCTCAGTCTTCCGCACGCTCACGGACATGACGAGCATACCTCATACGGAACTAGTAGCGTGAACTCGAAAGCCGCCCTACCTCAGAGACCATCGCTTCATAAGACGCTGTCCTCCAAAGTCTCGCAACTAATTGTCGGTGCCGAAAAAGCATGTGACGACACTGACAATGGACAATGTTATGGTGATCTGTGTGAAGTACGGCCTTCACGCTTGCAGTCACGAAAGTCCCTAGGCAGCTTGAGTATTACACGACCATCTGGGATGAGCAGAAGCCAAACTTCGCAGGGACCGCATGATCGGCGAACAGCGTTGGAAGATGTGAACGAAACAACACCTCTGGTACCTACAAAGTCCGGACCAGCCACCATGGAAAGCTCTTTTGCAAGTTTACCGTCTACCAACGGCCACGCAGCACACGAGATTCAACCCCTCCAAAAGCACAGCCGCTCATCCTCGACTACTTCATCGCACACTGACCACCACCACCATCACGGCCACAGCCACGACGAACATGACCAGGAGGCTCAACAACATCACCACCACGTCCCAACAAACGCCTTCCTCTCCCTCGGTCTCCAAACAAGCACAGCAATCGCCCTGCACAAAATCCCCGAAGGCTTCATCACTTACGCCACCAACCACGCCAACCCCACCCTCGGCTTCTCCATCTTCCTCGCCCTTTTCATCCACAACATCACCGAAGGCTTCGCTCTCGCCCTCCCCCTCTACCTCGCCATCGGCTCCCGCTGGAAAGCCATGCTCATCTCTGCCGTCCTGGGTGGTGTCAGTCAGCCCCTCGGTGCTGGTGTCGCAGCGCTGTGGTTCAAGATCCAAGGTAGGGGTCGAGAGCACGGCGCTGATGAGGGCATGGACACGATTTACGGTTGCATGTTTGCTGTAACTGCGGGCATTATGGCGATGGTGAGCTTGCAGCTGCTGGGGGAGAGTCTGGATTTGACGAATTCGAGGCGCTTGTGCTTTGTTAGTGCGTTTGCGGGAATGGGGATACTGGGGTTGAGTAGTGCGCTTACGGCGTGAGCATATGTTATGTTTCGTACTGGGCAAATATGGCGCTGGTGATACTGGATAGATTTAAAGCATATTGCGCATATTGCATTGAGATGGTTTGGGTTACATATACACAACTTTCTATACTACATTATCTACTCATACACTCCCTCTCTTCCTCCTTCTAGATCTCTAAAACTCCCTCAAAGCATCCAAAACATCCTTCTGCCTCTGCGTCCCCATCTTCTCAAACCCATCCACGCTCATCACAAACGTGCCCCTACCCCCGGTCAACGCCCTAAGTTGATTCAAATACCCCACCATTTCCTTCAGCGGCACCCTAGCTACGATCTGTCTCTGGCTATCGCTCAAGCCGCTGCCCATATCACCCGTCCCCGAGGCAAAGGGGTCGGGGGGCGTGTAAATAAGGTGGGTGTCGATACGGGGTAGCGCATCTTCGCCAGACGATGAAGATGAAGATAGAGACGAAGACTCTGAACCATCAAGCGACAAAATCTGCCCACCCCTCGAACTAGTAATATCCTGCACCACAGCCCCCATACTCCCCTCATTAACAAAAATCGTCACATTCATAACCGGTTCCATAAGCGTAGCCGGCTGCGCCTCACTCGCCTGCCTCAACCCCGCTCCTACAGCCGCGCGCGCAGCCATCGATATCGCCGTCGGCGTTGTTTCGGGGAAGAGATGCGCACTTGCATCCAGTGTGAGCGTAACGCGCGTGTTTGCAACGGGGAACCCGTTGAAAGGGCCGCGGGCGAGGGCCGCGGATGTACCGGCTTGAAGGGCGTGCAGGATACCGGGGAGGGAGAGGTGAGGGGGGATGTGCTGTTTATGAGCCGAAGAATCGAGGGATGAGAGCGGGGGGTGGTGGATGTGCAGGTGGTTGTTGTCTGGAAGGGGGTATGTGGTTTCGAATGGGCTTGAGCGGGCGTGTTGTTCGTCGATTTGGTTTTGGACTGGGGATAGCGGGATTATGTTGCTGTCTTCTACGCTTTCCACAGAAGCGGTTATAGCTGCTCTCGTCTGTTTTCCCGCAACGAGTTTATCTAGCACATATGTGTACGGCTCCGTTGGCGTCATCGTGGTGATAGTTTCCCTGTATCCGATTTCTATCTTTCCGATGCGTGCTTTGGCTTTGAAATCGTTGAGCAATCTGTCTCGTGCGATTTCTAAATGCAAATCGCCCATGCCGGCCAAATGAGTCTGCCCGGATTCTTCGTCGATGGAAAGGTGCAGACTGGGATCTTCGCGGAGGAGAATGGCCAGACTTTCTTGGACGTGTTTCTGTTCGCTGAGACTATTCGGTTCGATGCTGGTGAAGAAGACGGGGGGAGGGACGGCGATGGGGCGCAGTTGGAGGGTGTGAAGACCGCCGGGCGGTGTGCCTTTCATTTGGAGGCCGCGGTAGACGATTAACGTGTCTCCGGTTCTGGCGTGCTTGAGACCGGTTATCACGCCGATTTGGCCGGCGGAGATGCTGTCGACTTCGACGGCGTCGTTGGCGTACATTTTGAGCAGGCGGGGTGCGCGCTCCGCGAGGGAGAGGTTGGTGTTGTAGAGGGTGGCGCCGCGGTCGATGGAGCCGGAGTAGACGCGGACGTAGACGAGGACGCCGCGTTTGGCGTCGTTGACGACTTTGAAGGCGAGGGCGCAGGCGCTGAGGTTTTTGACTTCTGCGATGGCTAGTTCGTTGTTGTTTTGCTGCTGTTTCTTCGATGGCTTGGTGGTTTTTGTTGGTGCTGCTGCTGCGGCACTGAGAAGGGTTGATAGTGTGCTGCTTTGGTTGGAGATGCTGATTTCAGGATCTGGTCGTTCGAGTGGTGAGGGGAGTAGATCAACGACCGAGTCAAGGAGGGGCTGAACACCGATGTTGCGGAAAGAGGCGCCAGCGAAGACTGGGATGACTTTCTGCGGTGCCTGTAGTACGACTCGGCGTAATGACTGCATGATCTGTAGTCCAGAAATAGCCAGGTGATCTTCGTCGTGTTCCAAGAAGTGCTCAACCATAACATCGTCATGTTCGCTCAAGATTTCAACGAGGGCGATCCTCGCCTTCTTGATCTCTTCTGCAAACTTCTCGTCGGTTTTACTCAGATCTTGCAGCCCAAAAGCTTGAATGTCTCTGCCATCGCCACCGGCTTGCCAGAGCATACCGCGTAAGTTGATAGCATCACCGACTCCAACGAAATCGCCATTGCCATTCTTCCACCACGGGATTTGACAAACGGCTGGCCATCCGTGCAGTCTAACGCCTATCTCTTTGACGGTTCTGGAGAACGCGGCGCCCACACGGTCCAGCTTGTTGACAAAAATGATCCTCGGGATATGGTAATGTCCAGCTTGCGTCCACACTTTCTCCGTTTGGGCTTCAACACCGGCAACTCCATCGAGGATACATACAGCTCCATCTAGTACTCGAAGCGAGCGCAGCACTTCGAAAGTAAAGTCTGCGTGACCGGGCGTGTCGATGAGATTGATGTTGTGGGATGTTGAGGATCTTAGAACATTGTCGAACGAGGCTGGTAGCTGTGGTGGCGGTGGCGGAGTCTGAGTACTTGGTGGTAGGGGAGGCCAGTGGAATGTGATGGCTGCGGACTGGATAGTGATGCCGCGTGCTCGCTCAGCGGGGAGAAAATCGGTTACTGTCGAGCCTTCGTCGACGTCTATAAACTGTTAGATACAATCCATATGTGACTCCTGAAATCTATGTACGATCGACCCAAATGGTAATGTCCAGGCTTGAATGAGGGAGTGGTGACACAGGTGAAGCACTTGGTCAGAATTCCAAAACGTCTAGAAAAGGAATCGGAATGGAGACAGATAAGGGATATTGCATATCTCTCAACTAAAAGCAATTGAAAATGAAAAGAAAGCATGGAGTTTAAAGTGTTACGACGGGTACGTACTTCCTATTCGCCTTGTCACTCCGCTGTAGTAGAGCATACGCTCAGTCGTCGTCGTTTTCCCCTACCGAATCGTCAGAACAAATCTAACTATCAGAAAACAGCACTTACCGCATCGATGTGGGCGATGATGCCAATGTTGCGGGTGGCCTTGGAAAGCAGATCATGGTGTGGTTGCGTCGACAGCAAGCGCCGTGGAGTCTTCACATGGTGCCGCAAGACTCGACGGGTAGACGTAACCCATCCGACCCTCATGCCCAGTACTGCGCAGTGCGATAGATGGGCGAATTGACAGCGTTTGACTGTTTGGCAGTCGCACGTGATGTGAAGGATGTCGACGTTCGCGCCTTGCCTAGCTCGGCTAATTCCAGGGCAGGTCAGGGCATTCGAGCGACATCATCGCATCACTCGACAGCTCGGTGCAGCTGTCCAGAGCTCCAATTCCCCACCACACACCATGGACTACAGCGCCCACGACCCGGACCACCCCGGCGGCCGCGACCCATGGGCATCGTCGCCCCAGGCCAACCGAACGTCCTTTGGGCAGCCGCCGACCAACGACATCCCCTCATCCCCGCTGCCTCCGCAGGCTTCCCCGTACCATGAGGGTGGTGAGCAGTACGGCTACATGGGCGACCAAGATGCGCAAAGCCGGCCCGGCACGGCGCCAGAGAACGGCGACCATCTGCAGCAACCACAGATGCCGGGCCAAGATGCGCCGCGGTCACCCAATGCGCAGCAGGGCCAGCAGCAGCCGCAGCGATACCACGGCAACAGGCCGCAGCGGCAACAGCAACACTACAAGCTCCAGGCCAAAGTCACGGGACTCGAGCGGAATAGCAAGAAGGACCCGATACTGCGATTCGATGTCTACGTACGTCTCCACAACATCAACACGACCGGGCTAGAGGCGCGCGACATAGCGGACATTGAGGCGTGGTGCAAGGTAGACATGTGCTTCTCCGGCATCTCAGTCGGACTGCATACCTTCACTACTCCTACCAATACCGCGCACGCTTAGCCTCCATTTCCAACTCCTACTGACGTGTCTCCAGACGAACCTCCCCAAGTTCCGCACCACCCAATTCCGCGATGTCCGACGCCTGCACTCCGAGTTTGTCAAGCTGGGCGAGCATCTCATCTCAGCATGCCCCGAGGCTATTGTGCCTGCGGTACCGCCAGCGACTACCTCGGCAGGCGCAGGCACCGACGAAGACGAGGCACGCCTGAAGACTTCGCTACAACGGTGGCTGAACATTGTATGCAGCAATGACATCCTGATACGCGATGAGGAGATGGTCTTCTTCGTGGAGAGCGACTTTGGCTACAGCCCTGTGGTGCGAAGGAAGCAACCTGCAACTGGCGTGCGCCGCAAGATGATCAAACAGTTTGCGCCGCCGCCAGATGACACACCGGAGCTTGCTGCGGCACGACCAGTCGTTAAGGCTTTCTACCTGGGCACAATGGAGGCGGAGCAGAAGCTAGAGAAGGTCGTGAAGCACAGGAGAAGTAGGCGCTTTCCAGGCACACGTCCTAGTACATGGCTAACATGATCTAGATCTGGGCGTCGCAGAGTCCGACCTCGGTGCCAAGTTCGCAGCGTTACATGTCCAAGAAACACACGTCGGCCTTTCACACGCATACAAGAAGCTCGGGAAGGTCATCCAGGCCACGGGCGACTTCCACGCAGCGCAGGGTACTGCCGAAGCTACAACTCTCGGTGACCCTCTCCAATACCACAGCAGCGACGCCTTTATTGCGAAAGAAACCCTCACAAACCGACACATCCTCCTCCGCGAGCTCCTACAAGCACAATCCGCGACAAAGTCCAAGCTGTCCGCAGCCGATAGGCTCAAGGCCAGCTCGAGCGTTAAGCGGGACAAGGTCGACGAAGCTATCGCAGCCCTAGACGAAGCGAGAAGCCACGAACAATACCTCACGACCAAAGCGCAGCGCGTCACAGCCAACCTCCTACAAGAGCAACGCAAATGGTTCAACAGAACCACACAAGACATGAGGCAAGCGATCCGCGAATACGTCGTGCGAGAAATCGAAGCAGAGCGTCGTACACTTGCGACACTAGAATCGGTACGACCAGACATCCGC